TGACAACTCCCACTTTGGTCCTGACCATAGAGCTGGGTGACTGAGTCTTCAGTGGCCCTATTATGCTCCCAGCCACAGCTCAGGTGGGCTAGCCTGCTCCCCCTGCCCCAACAGTCTCCAAGAACAGACAGAGGGCAGGGAAAACTTGCTTAGTCGAACTCTGGGGCTGTTTAAAAAGCCCAAGGCCCAAGAAGGCAGCCCGGGGGCAGGGATTGGAGCCACCCCCAGAGCTGCTGAAGTGCAGCTGAGAAAAGCAAACCCCACACCAAGGAGGCAGGCAAGAGGCTGGGCACCACCTGCATGTGGTTTATTGTTTTGTTTTCTCCAAACTTAGCAGAATGTGAGGCCACCTGGGGGGCAGCTGGGCCCGCTGCATGGGGCCAGCCAGTCATTGTGTGTGGGGCCAGAGTCCATGAGACGTCCACTGGGAGAAGATCCCAAATACAGGAGGCCTGGCACCCCCTTTTCTGCTTCCTCCACGCCCAAAGCCCCCACAGGGAGGCATGATTCGGCAAGCATGAGAGTGCAGGTCTCAAAGGAAGTGGGGCAGCTGTGAGGCCAAGCAGCAGTTGGAAGCTCCATGGGAGCCTGGGCAGGCCTCCCGAGGCTGCAGGGCGCCACCCTTTTGCTGGAGAGAAGTTGGGATGCTGGGCCAGTTGAGATGGGTCAGATGCACATAGGACCTTTCCAGGTCACTTCTCCCTGAGCTGTCTTCTTTCCCACGGTCCCCATCCCATGCTCCCCTCACCTGACATCCCTGGTCTGCACAAGATCCATCTCTTTCAGAGGAACCAAGACCCAGAGAGCGAGGCCCAGAATCTCAGCACCTCCCTGGGATGCTCTCCTGACAAGAGCATCTGCACAGTGCTGGGGCTTCTGACCACCCCAAGACAGAGAAGCAAGAAAAGCTTGTGGGGCTGCTAGTGGGGAGGCTTGAGCACCGGACGAAGGCCTCTCCCCGTTCAGCTCACGGGTTGGGGTCTGCCCACAGCCCTCGCCCTGCATCTTTCTGTGCTGCCATCCAGGGCATGGCTGCGAATCCCAGAGGGACCTCCAGTCCAGGCTCCATGGGAACAACAGCTGCAGACCTGTGGGGGTAAGAGAGGGAGAGAAGGTTGGGGAGGAAGGATGGTTGCCAGGGGACAGGAAGCCACTTCTGTCTACCCGCTCAGCTTGAGTTATGGTGGTGGGCGATATGCCTCAGAAAGCAGTCTAGATGGGCCCCAGGGAGGACACCTGGACCCCAGTTCCCCATCCCTGCTATGGCCTTTTAGAGAGCAAGCCCATCTCAGGGCCAGGTGGGGCAGGGAGGCCAGACCCAGCCAGAGACCTACCATAATTAGGAGTATGCCAGGCCCTGAAGCCCCCGGGCTGGAGAGTGGAACTTGTCAGAATCCTCAAAAGGCTGGTCTGCAGTAGTCAGGGAGAGAGGACCCATAAGCCATGTGCTGCCTGAGGAGCCACCTGCCTGTCACTCTCTGGGCTAGAGACAGCAGGCAAGGCATACAGCACTTTGTGAAGGCAGTTAGCCACCCCTAGCCCTGGCCTGGGGTCAGCACTGCAGATCAGGGATGATGGGTGCCTCTCCGATGCTCAGGTCCCTAAGCCCTTAGTCCCTACCTCCCTCAAGAGAGACGACCCCAGGCTCCTTATCCCAGAGTGGTCTCCTTCAGAGGGTCCATCTACTTCTTCAAGCACACGGCCACATACCAGGACAGAAAAGGAAGGAGGCCAGCCTCAGGAGCACTGATTGACACACCCACAGCAGCATCCTGTCTGCCTCCCACATCTACGGAATTCATCACTTCATACTCCCCGCCCCTGCCTGAACCCCTCCCATGGTTCTTTTTGCTGGCAGAAGAAATCGGTGACCCTCTGTTCTCTCTGTCCCTCACATTCTAAGCTCCAGACACATCTAAGTTAAGAAAAATTATCAAAAAAAAAAAAAAAAGAAAAATTATCCAAAAAAAAAGTGACTGTGTATCCTTTCAAAGTCACTCTAGAACATTATAAAGTAAGCCCACCTTAAAAGTCCTCTTATTCTGGGGCATGTGACATCTTTCTTTTTTTTTTTTTTTTTTTAGATGGAGTCTCGCTCTGTCGCCAGGCTAGAGTGCAGTGGTGTGATCTCTGTTCACTGCAACCTCTGCTTCCCGGGCTCAAGTGATTCTCCTGCCTCAGCCTCCCGAGTAGCTGGGATTACAGGCATGCACAACTGTGCCCAGCTAATTTTTGTGTTTTTAGTAGAAACGGGGTTTCACCATGTTGCCCAGGCTGGTCTTGAACTCCTGACCTCAGGTGATTTACCTGCCTCAGCCTCCCAAAGTGTTAGGATTACAGGTGCGAGCCACTGAACCTGGCCATGTGACGTCTTTTGACTTCATGCTACTGGCTAGGGCCCAGACTGTTCAGTTGGATGTATGTTAACTTGTTGGAGACTGAGAAATGCCAGATGACTTCTCATTGGTAGAAAAGACAATCCCCAGAGGACAGTTACGAGTTTATTGCTCTGTAGAAGCAATCGTATTTTGGCCCTCCTTGTTTTACTGGCCCCAGTCTCACACTGTCTCCTTTAAGCCACTTTGTCAACCTGTTAGCTCCCTCATTAATGAGTTAAATAAATCATTGGCATATATATTTGTATGTTATGTTCTTTTTTTCTTTTTGAAACAAGGTCTTGTTCTGTTGCCCAGGCTAGACAGACTGGAGTGCAGTCTGGGCTCGATCTTGGCTCACTGCAGCCTTGACCTCCAGGCTCAAGTGATCCTCCCATTTCTGCCTCCCAAGTAGCTGGGATTACAGGCACATACCACCACACCCAGCTTATTTTTGTATTTTTTTTTAGAGACGAGGTTTTGACATGTTGCCTAGGCTGGTCTTGAACTCCTGACCTCAAGTAATCTGCCCATCTCGGCCTCCCAAAGTGTTGGGATTACAGGCGTGAGCCTCCGTGCCCAGCCCCATGTTATGTTCTTAATGTTTTGCATGTGGGCTCCAAATCTCTGCCTTCCCACATACACACCTGAGGCCTACTCTGTCTAGGGCATTCCTCCCCCACTAAGAACCCCTGCCTCCTTCTTCAAACCCTGCCATGGCAAGGCCCTCTCTGAAGACGGCCCACCCTCTGGATGGGTCACCAAGCAGCCCCCTTGCCTGCCTGCCCTCCCTGACATAAAAGTCTGTTTTACTTGAGTCACCATCACAGACCTGCCTGTACTGTGCAGAGAAGGGTCTCTGGTGGGAAGGGGCCCCATTCTATATGCAGGACAGGGCATCAGCACAGTGCTCAGAAGCTTCTGGGCTGCACTTAGTTGCTCTGACTGCCCCGAGAACAGCAGATTCTGTGGGACTCCATGGACATGCATTATCCTCAGTTGTTCTCCCAGGCCCGGAGCTTCCCCACCCTCCTTCCAGCATCCCCCGACTCTCTCATACAGTGATCTTGGAGCACAGAGGCTCCATAGAGCATTGTCCACAGCCTCGGCCTCCCCTGCCTTGGCCTAGAGGCTGCCCCACCTGCTCCTGCCTTGGATTTGGAGATGGCTCTGGGGCCCAAGCCACTGGCCTTGCTCTTGTGACAGGCATCCCAGCCTGATCAGTTCCACATCAGGCTGAGGAAACCACGAGGATGTCTCTTCCTGCATCTCAAGGTCATTCCCCGGGAACTAATCTCAAGATGCTCTTAGAAAAATACATTTTGTGCTCAAATAAATTTGCACCTCCTGTTTCCTAGAAGGTTCACAATGTACCCTAGCATATGAAAGGCTCTGACAAAGTCTTCAATAGCCACTAACCTAATGTGAACGCTGATTCTTTCCTAATGGTTACCCATTATTGTCTTGGGGAATACTCAATAGGACATGCCCTAACCCAACCTCTTCCAGATCAGTGCCCCACAAACTGTACCCACTGTGTGGGTGTGAACAGTGCCCTTCCAACCCATATATTCATTCAATAATTCAGCTACTATTTCTTAAGCACCTGCTATGTGCCAGACTGAGACCTAGGGGATCCTGTGGAAGCATCCCTTAGCCAGATGAGAAAATACCTATAAGCCTCTTAGGGAAGATGCTGGCCCCAGCCCCTGCCATCCCCATCAACAGGGACCTATTCTGCCCACCCACATCCTGTTGCCTCCTCCTTTTCCACAGCCAGTTCCCTCCTCTGTTCTGCCAGTGAGTTTCCAGTGACCACCTGGATAAGAAAGGTTCTGTGGTGAAAAGGTTCTGCTGCACGTGGGCAAAGTGACAGAACAGCCATTTCATGAATAGGATGTGGGAGGATGACTTGGTCTCAAGTCTTAATCTGTAAAAGGCAGAGAGGGAAGCTGGGCTAAGCCTCATCTGAGGTCAGTCCCCTTCCATTGTCAGTGACCTAGTCCCTCACAGAGGTGTGTGCTACCCTCTGGTGGACACAGGTAGGCACAGGCACAGGCACGCAGCCCACATAGGGTCCTCCCTTCAGCTCAGAGGGTCTTTGCTCTGGGCTCAGCTGAATGGGGAAGGGGTGTTGGGGTAATTTCTAGACCTCATCAACTGTGATTTGAGTCTCTTCGCCTTGGCCAGTGGTTAACTGAGAGCATTCTGAGTGATCACTCCATGCTGGGAGGCCAGGGGAGTGGGAGCCAGAGGGACCTCCCTGGACTCCTGCAGAGCTCCCTGCTCTCCATCCTCCAAGAAGAGCTAGTCAGCCAGCATGAGACTCTGGTGAGGTATGGATGGAGCAGTGCCCCCTTGCCCAGTTGCTCCACCAGGGCCCTTCCTTCCTGCCACAGTGAAGCAGGGCAGATCACTCACCTGGAAGCCCCTCTCCGTGGGCTCTGGGGCAGGCCTGGGGTGGGGAGGTCGGGGGGCGCAGCACGGGGGCGAAGGCGCTCCTCTGTTTGACAGCGGAGATCATGTTGACAGGCGAGAAGGAGAAGACGCTGGTGGTGGGGGCAGCGGCCGGGAGGGACATGGAGGAGGCAGTCGCCAGTGGGGGGCTAGAGGGCATGACTCCGGGGCGGGGCAGGGAGGGGCAGGCGCAGCAGGGAAGGTGGTGGGAGACACAACAGGGAGACAGCACCAGAGTGAGCAGCCGGGCTGGGGCCCCACGTGGGCTGCTGACCCAGGTACCAGGCTCAGACCTCACTGAGAGCTGTGAGGGTCCTGGGCCAGCCCTGCCTTCTTGAGGGTTCTGGAGACCTTTTCTCGGGGATGGGGAATGACCGGGCCGGACCAAAAGCAAAGCAAAACAGAACATAAAGACAAAAGCAAAACCAGAACATTCAATAAAACCAGATAGTGGGAGGTGCCCCCCAAATATGAGATGAGCAACAGCTGGACTATTTCAGGATTTCTGGTGAAAGCCCCGGGAATTCCGAGACGCTAGAAAACACCTATGAGCCCTGGGGTGCCAAGGCTAGAGTCATAGTTCAGGGGTCACAGAAGAGCTGGAGCAAGTAGTCAGGGATGAAGTCTGGGGGAACACACAGGCTCCTGTTACAAGGCCTCTCTGTCCAACATCACAAACAGGCTCCAACTTCCTCCTCAAATATGCTCTCCTTGCCAATGTCTCCTATGCTCCTTTGTCCCTCTCCTACCTCCCCCTGCACGCTGGGTCACTTGGTTTCCTTACATCTTAATGCAGGTCCTTGTCATCTCCAGCTGGGACCCTGGGAGTCTCCTGAATCTCCCTCTTCCAGCTGGTCAATTTTAAAGAAAAGTGCAGCGATCGACATCAGATCTTCCTGTTCTCAAACTCCCTAGCCATCCAGCCTGTGGCTTGCCCTCCTGGGAATGGCAAGGGAGCCTCCTGCACACGGGCTTTGCCTGCCCCCTCTTCCTGCAGCCTTCTCTCCTGGGGGCTCAGGCCCAGGGAATCTCTGGATCCCACCTTTCTACATCCTCATCTGAACCCAATTCCCTGCCTCTCTCCTGTAAAGACCGGTAAGGCCATGATTTGAGTATTGTCCTGGCAGCAGGCAGTAGGGTGTTCTGGCAACTCAATGAGAATGATACTTCTCATCGACACTTTCAATGAGGCTTCCTGGAAGAAAGCAATAGCTTGAGAAGGCTGCCTTTGGCATCAGAGTACCCTCCTACCCCCCTTGATACAATAACTCCTTCAACAGCTGCCCCTCTTCCAAATGCCCTCAGCCTCATCTCCTTTAAGACAATAGTTACTGCTAGCTGGAGAGGCCCCAGAACCTGATGAAGGGCTTGAGAACAATGCCAGAAAATGTACTATAGCTCTCGACGCCCAAGGCTCACAGCCACATTTTGCACTTTGTGTAGGTAGCACGAGGAATTGTGAGTCATTCCAGGGAATTGTGGCAGAAGCAGAAGAACAAAGAGAGACCCAAGCAAACAGCCCTTGAGCCTCTGGCTGGGACAGTTCTAATGTCATTCCAGGAATGTTCTGGAAAACTCAATGAGAATGACACCTCTTAGAGTTGGGCCACAAAGCACCCTGCACGTGGGGAGTGGAAGGGTACCTGGGTAAGCCCTGGTCAAGACAATATCACAAAATGGGACCAACACTCTCTCAAGTCCAGCGTGTCTCCAGCTGATGCTGGGTTTAAGCAGCTCTGGAATTCTTGTTCTTGCTGAATCAGAAGACCCCAGACAGACTGGCTTCTGCACACTGGGGCAGCGTGTTCCCCTACTGTTGGCCACACTGTATGTGTGGGAGGAGACCAGTGTTCCAGACTACCCTAGTGTTGGCCCAAGGGGAAAGTTTCAAAACCAAGGGGCGCCCACAGACAGGCTGTGAGGGGACTGCCCCAGAACTGAAGGGAAGCAGGAGCAGTCAAGCCTGGTTTGCGCAAAGAACCAGGAGAGGCGGGGGCTTGGGAGGGACGCCAGAGGGCCACAGCCTATGCAGACTCTGGAACTCTGGCTTATGAGGCCTTGGGTCCCAGAAGCTCGGGCTGGAGGAAAGGGCTGGACTCAAGCCTTCAGCGAGAAACAGCAGCAGGCAGGACACAGGCCCTACAAGGAAAGCTAGGCGGTCGGACTAACAGTGCAGTCTCAGCAATGGCAAATATGGGGCAGGGGGAGGGGAGGGAACCACAGGCAAAGCCACAACCAGTTTCTTCTGGGACAGACTTTGTCACTTCTCCAGCACTGCAGAGTCACCTGGGACTTGAGGGACAACCTCCCTTATGATTGATAGGGAGGCTTCTTGCAGGTGACAGGAGTGGAGGGATCCTCCAAGCCTTGGGCTTTGCATTAAGTGGGCGCTTTACAAATGTCTGCTGAATGGCTAAGCTCAAAAGATCTGTGAACATGCTGATCTGGAACTTGATGTTGGTAGAGACTTGAGGGCAGTGTAAAATGACAAGGCATCAGAGCTGTTGGGAATGACATACAGACTCACTCATGACACAAAGACATTGCCCGTCCACCCAGCTCTGAGCTCCCCACTCTAAGAAGCCAGATGGGAGGTGGTCGGCGCCCACAGTCAGGGCTGCGACTCCGAAATCATACATCCTTGAGAATTTTGCCTGCCCCTTTAGGCACAGTGGCACATTCAGATCCGAGATCAACCTTAAGCAGGGGATGGAACTGACCCTATTTGAGAGGAAACAAATTCAAGTAACTTGCTGAATGCCCGGCAGCTCCTGATCTGGACACTGAAACTCAACTTCTGTCTGATCACACAGAATTCGCTCGCTCTGCCGGACGACATCGCAAGGACTACATCCTCCCCACGCCCACCGGGCCTCTGGGAGTCCTGGGGGCTGGGGGCGGCGAGAAGGAAGCCCATTCCCCTCGAGCCCTGAGTTTCCTTAGGCTTACGGCAGGCGGCGCCAGCTTCCTCCCCAAGTCCCGGCGCAAGATGGGAAGGGGGCGGTGTCCCAGGTTGCAGCTGCTCGCCCGCCACCCATTAGATCCCACTTCAGGGGGACTGGAGGCCTAGAAGGGATGTGCCTAACTGACCGGCAAAGAAGGCTAAAGATGCTCAAAGTACTCTGGCCCCAGGACCCCGGGATGTGCAGCCGAGGGGTGTGGTTGAGGTCCCACCGCAGGGGAGGTCCCAGGTGGTGAGGGTGGGCCTCCCCCCCCCCAGGGCTGGGCCAGGGTGGACCCTCACAGCGCCAGCGCCGCAACTCCTCTGGGATGGACGGGGGCGGGGCTGAGCCTTTTTCCGCCCCGGCCCCAGCCCTCCCCTCGCAGGCGGAGGACACTCACTGGCGAAGGGAGAGGTGGCGGTGGAGCCGTTGAGGAAGCTGGGGGACCCAGGCACACCGAGGCCGGCCACGCCCGGAGCGCCGTAGCCGCCCAGGCCAGCTCCGAGCCCGTTGCCATAGCCGCTCTGCTGCGAGCCGGGGCTGGGTGCGAACCCGCGGGGGGACGCGCTGCTGCAGCTGCGCGCGTAGCCTGCGAGAGAGAGGGCGGCCGTCAGGGGGCGGCGCCAGCCGGGGAGGGGCGATGGCGGGGCCCAAGGGCGGCGCACGCACCTGGCTCGGGCCCCGGGGTGGCGTCCCCGACGGCGATGGCTAGCGGGCTGCTGAAGGCGTTGATACCCATGACAGCAGGGTGCGGGTGGCTCGGGGCCAGGGGTCCGAGAGGCCCGGGCGCGCGGGGGGCGCTGTACAGAGCCTCAGCCACGTCCGCCGCGCGCTTCAGGAGGAGCTCCTGTGAAGACAAGAGCGGGGCACGGCCGGGGCAGCCGCGGGCGCCGCGTGCGGGGGACCCCTGGGCTGGGTGGCGCTGGGAGGGCGGAGGCGCCATACCTGGTTACTGCCTGGCACTCCATACAGGGCCTCCGCCAAGTCGGCCGCCCGCTTCAGCAGCACTTCCTGGAGACCGGGGAGAGGCAGCGGGACGAAGGGGCAGCTCCTGGGGGCGACGAAGGGCCCCCCCTGGAGCCCCTCCTCACCCCCTCGACCACAGGACACCCTCAGCCCCGCCCCACCCCTCTGAGTACCTTGGGCAGCCTCTCGGGGTCTCCGGGGTGTCTGGGAATGACTTTCTGTAGCCTCTGGAATCCGTAGTCAATGGTGGGCTCGTTCAGGGCTGGGGAGAGGCGCGACGTTTGGAGGACTCCCCCGCAACCCCCTACTCCCAGAGTGGGACTCAGGATGCCAAAAGCAGGCCAGCGCCCAGTCCAGGAGCCTCGCCGCAGCCCCTCCACCATGTCCAGCCCAAGTCCCCAGGAAAACTCCAGGCACACCCGGCAGCGAGGTTCGGGGAAGTTTCAGTTCCGTTTGTTCATTCAACAATATTTACCGAGCCAGGCTCTGTCCTCTGCTCTAGCCGCTTGGCATGAACACACATGCACTATACGATCCCATTTGTGATTAGAAAAAAGGGAAACTATACACATATGAGCTATATTCCTAAGGGCAGGACTCCGTGGAGAGTTTTCTCTTTGCATCCAGTGAAATCAGGAGTTAATTATAAAAAAGAAAAAACTCAACAATCTCCATTTATCCCAGCTCAAGTGGACCCTCCGCAGCATCTGAGGGCTAGAGGTTTGCATGCACCCCAGGGAAGCGACTGGAGAAGTGAGTGGCTTGGGCTGGGGCGGGAGGATGGAAGTGGAGAAGATCCGGCCAGCGGCCAGATTCTACACTGCATCTCCATATGTGTGGTGTTCACTGCTTACCCTGGCATTGTGCAAGGTGTGTGTATGTGTGTGTGTGTGTGTGTGTGTGTGCGCGCGCGCGCGCGCGTCTGACCCAGCTCCCTACGGCACTACTCCTCCTCCTTCCCCTTTTCCTGATTCCCTCACCCGCCTCTTGGGATAGCCTGGCCCGACCTAATCCACCAGTCTTAATGCCCTACCTTCACCTCTAATTCTGACTTAGTGTATTTCCTTTAGTTTCCCGGCAAAGAGGAAAGCACTTCTGGGGCTCGGCACCGGTGGTTCCATCTCCTGCGACCGCCCTTCCTTCCCCAGGTCAACCTCCCCACTCAGCCCAAGGGTATCCTCCTTGCGGGGCTCAGCAGACCCTCCCTACCGGAGGTTTTCCTTGACTGTCAGCCCCTGGACCGTGTAACCCCACCCACCCCAAGCGGTTCTCTGCTCGGCCTTTTCCTATTAGACTGGCGCCTCCCTGAGGGTAAGTAGGGTCACCACCGAGTGTCTCTAGAAGGGCTCGATGAGCATCCATGCGTGTGTGTGGGGGTGGGGGTGGAGGGGTGGGGGGGGAGGGCAGCGCGCTGGTGGGGAGTGCAGTGGGGTGGCTTGGCTGGGGCGCGGCGGGAGGATGGAAATGGAGAAGACTCGGCTCCCTGCCAAATAGAGCCGGGCTAGGGGGTTCTACACTGCATCTCTACGCATGTTCACTGCTCACCCTGGCAAGGGGTGTATCTGTGTATGTACGCAGGTGTGTGTGCGTGTATATGCAGTGAGGCCTGGGGTAGCGTGGGGGGAACCAAGAGACCCAGGGAAGATTCGGGGAGCAGCGACCCCATTTGGTGGCATCTTTGAAATAAACACCCCTTTGGAGAGTCTTTAAACCCTGGAGGGTCTGCGGGCGGGAGACACAATGTTCAGGAAGTGAGATGGCCAAGGGAGAAAGAATGTTGGTTGTGGGGCGGCAGGAGGGACGGGACACTTTGTAGGAAAGGATTATGGAGCCAGAGGCCAGGGAGGGAAACACACAGATCCAGGGAAAGACTGTCCTGCGAGCCGAGCGGTCACAGGCACTGGTGGGTGGAGGCGGCCCCAAGCCGCCTAGGGGGCGTGGCCACAGCGTAGAGCTCCGCTCACTCCATACTCCAAGAACCCAGATCCGCGCGCGTGCGCGGGGTGTGGCTCCCTCCGCGCACCTGAGACTTCCCCTGCCCCGCCCGACTCCTCACCTGTGTAGACAAAGCGGCCAGGGGCTCCCTTGCAAAACTGCTTGGACTTGTAGGAGAGGGTCACCTCCACCACCCCGGGGATGTGCCGCGGGGGCGTCTGCACCCGGATGGCGTGGGGCGTGATGAGCTGCGAGAGGAGAGGGGAGGCCTGCAGGTCCCGCACCGGCGAGGGGAGGGCCCAGCCCCCAGGCCCCGAGGGAGACTGGCGGGGTTGGCCCACCTCGCTCCACACGAGTACGTTTCCGAACACGACCTGCAACCCGTCGAAGAAGTTGTCGCCGATGACAATGACGGTGGCGCCGCCCGTGGTCCAGCCCTCCCCGGGGCTGATGGCCTTGATGCAGGGGGTGGCAGCTGGGAGGCAGGAGAGGACCCAGGTCAGGGGACCGCGCGGAGCTGGGGCCTGGGGACTGGCTGAGCCCGCGGCGACCGGGGCTGGGCCGGGGGTCCTGACCTTCGGAGGGGTCCAGGCGGCGCGCCCTGCGGCCATGCTTGGAGTTGTTGTGCACAAACATGTTGTCGGACACGGCCAGCACGTGTCCATCCACGCTCACCGTCGTGGACACCACCACCTGCGAGGAGAGCCGAGGCCAGTCTGGCTGGGGCCCTCGGGGGCTCCCGTGAGGGGAATGTGGTGGGGAACCAGCACCTTGAGGCTGGTGGCTGGATGCTGGAATTTAGGGTCACTGGTGGGAGGAGGAGGGCTTCAGTCCTGCAGTGTCTGAGCAGGTGGAAGGGGGCCAGCTGGATCAGGTGACACCCCCAGATGAACTGACTCCCCAGAGCGACAAAAATAAAGACCCCTGGAAAAACTGGCTCCTTGGACAAAGGGTGGCCACTGTTTTTGTATACACAGGAATGCGGGGCTGCATCCACGGGCCTCCAAGGCAGGAATGGTGTCTGAGGCAAGTGGCGGGGGGCAGCATCCGCTGGAGAACCCATCAGCAGGAGCCCCTGCCCTATTCTGGGGAGAAAACTGGGGCTGCCTTCTTCCCCCTCTTCCCTGCACTGGGAGGGGTGTGCAGGTTGGGGATGTGCTGAGGGCAGCTGCTCTCCGCTTCACGCTATGCAAATTGCCTGGGTCGTTAATCATGTAAAAATGTCACAATTAGCATCTTCTTAAGTGGGACTCTAATGAAGCCTCCCTTGGCAGCCAGCATAAGTTGAGAAGGAGCTGCCCCACCCCCAGCAGGCTCCAGGCTGGGGAGGCACAGGGCTGGGCAGAGATCTGCCCAGGGTGGCAGGGTCACAGCCTTCCCTTCCCCCTCCCCTCCCCTCCATCAGGAAAGGGTGGGGTTGCCAGGGGAAACCCCTCTCTCCAGACCCACCTGAAAGCGGCGCATGTCTCGGGGATTCCCCGCATTCTTCAGGCAGTTCTGGTTGCATTTGAGGAAGAACTTGAGGAAGAACCTGAAACAGTGTGGTCAGTGGGCTCAAGGGTCTGGGGGTTCTGGAAACAGATGAGGATCCAACTGCTCTCTGCCATGCCCCCTCCCAGCAGGATGACTCCCCTCTGCCGGCTCCCACTCAGCCACACACCCCTGTTCCCATCATGGCCTGCATATACATAGGGTGCCTGATACACACCAAATAGACCCACCACAGTGACTACTTCACTACACGTGTACCATACACACAGTGCTTATTTATCCCACAAAGTGTATATGTAGCACTCCCACACAGTATGTATTCCTCATAAAGTGTATGTCCATTATATACACTACATATACCTATTAGTCATTATTATTCCCACCACACTGTATACCCATACACATTCAATGTATGCTCCGTATGTATGCTCCTTGGTCCGGTCACCTACCAGTAAGGTAACCATGTACACACTTACCCAATGTAACCTTATCACACACTATGTGTATGTCATAGTATATGCGTATCACCCACATAGTACATCTGTCACACGACACATCCCTCCCAGAGTATACCCATTACCTACACAATGTACACTCCTCATACACAGCATATTCTTTGTAGACACTGTTTATGCCTTGTATACTATTACAAAATACAGCCACTGCACACACCCTGGGTATAACCTTCACACAAGCATAAACTTGTGTGAAGCATACTCCATATATAGCCTGCACTCATCATACATGTAGTGGCATAGTAATCAGACACAGAGCCTGTACCTATCACGCACAGTGTATGCCCACCCCACACAGTAGATGCACAGATAAACAGAAAATACACAGAACAAATACATTAATACACATTTTATGTTATAAACGATTATCCAAAATGTAGTTATTGCAAATACTGTAAAGCCATCCCATATAGCAGATGCCCCCAGCAAATTCCCCTCCCACATGGCAGATCCTCCTCCCACACATTATAACCATCATACACGCAGGAAAAGCTTAATCACACAGAGCACATACCCACCACATACACATGGTGTATCTGTCAGACATGTGGTACAGACACCGTGAATGTCTTCTTGTTTACATAGAGTTACTGGGAAAAAAACACATATGCACTGACGAGGCTGCTTTTTGGACAAACACATGAGCACTCAGTCCTCTTCTCCTTCCTGGCAGTTGGCCTTAGTCCGGTCACCTACCAGCAAGGTAACCATGAACAATACTCTAGCTGTTGTACTATTTTGATTTGTTTTGTTTTTTGAGGCAGAGTCTTGCTCTGTCACCCAGGTTGGAGTGTAGTGGTGCCATCTCTCACGGAAACCTCCGCCTCCCAGGTTCAAGCAATTCTTCCTGCCTCAGCCTCCTGAGTAGCTGGGATTACAGGCACCTGCCACCATGCCCTGCTAATTTTTGTAGTTTTAGTAGAGACAGGGTTTTGCCATGTTGCCCAGGCTGGTCTCGAACTCCTGACCTCAGGGGGTTCGCCCGCCTCAGCCTCCCAAAGTGCTGGGATTATAGGCGTGAGCCACCGTGGCTGGCCCTGTTGTACTCTTAGTAAACTCAGAATATGATCAGTATCTGCCTTATGCTCTATAGCACTCTGTGAGCATCTGGGAAGATGCCTTTTACAAATTGTAGAGTGCAGGGCTAACGTCTGCAGTAGGTCCTGGCACGTGGCACTGCCTCCTAGGCTGCTGTATGAGCTTCTCATCAGTCAGCTTCCTCATTTTACCTCCACCCAACTGGGAGATGTTTTTACCATCGTATTTACTAAAGCAAATACAAGGCCAGGCACCGTGGCTCACGCCTGTAATCCCAGCCCTTTGGGAGCCCAAGGTGGGCAGATCACAAGGTCAAGAGATCAAGACTAGACTGGCCAACATGGTGAAACCCCATCTCTACTAAAAAATACAAAAATTAGCTGGGCAAGGTGGCTTGTACCTGTAATCCCAGCTACTTGGGAGGCTGAGGTAGGAGAATTGCTTGAACTGGGACCTGGGAGGTGGAGGTTGCAGTGAGCTGAGATCCAATCTGGGCTACAGAGCAAGATTCCATCTCAAAAAAAAAAAAAAGGAAATTTGCAAGAGTCCCAGACCTGGGTGGACCTTTAACCACTGTATTAGTTACTCATGTACAACTTATATACCCCAAATTTGAACGTTCATTTAATTTACCAGTGTTGCCTGAAAAGTGTGCAAACAAGAAATTCCCATTCAGAGGAAGATTTGTTACAGGCCCTGAAAGGCTAGTTCCCAAAAAAGACGTCCCCAAGTGCTGGGAGGAGTAAGCACTGGCCCTGGAACTCGGGTGTCCCCGGGGCGCAGCCCCTGATTGGGAGTTGGTGGCAATCACCTTTCTGGAGATATATCTCCCTGGGGTCCTGCCTCTGTCTACACTTCCAGCACTGGTCATGTTCCCCCACACAATGGGCACCCCCTTTATTCCCCAAACGGTGCACCCCTACAGTGTAGACAGTCCATTTACTCCTATGGGATACCCTGCAGTGCAGACAGCTATTATGCCTCAAACAGTAGTCACCAATGTGTAGACACCATATTTGCCCCCCACGGGTCACCCCAAGGTGCAGACACCTCCAGTGCTCCTGCGAGGCACACCTGCATGGTGGAGGCACTCCATTTCTCTCTTATTAGTTGCTACAGCAACCACTCCCTACACCCTTTATGATACCCTATGATGTAAACACACTGCACCCACATGTCTGACATGTTCGTCATCCATACCCCACATTCACGTGACAGGGTACAGACTCCCTACTCACACATGCAGTGCAGACCAGTTCCTTTAAATTAAGTACCCATGTGCTTGTTCCTTCAACACATGCTAGATGGAGGGGAAAACACCAGGATGGGACACAGTCTCTGTCCTAAAGAGACTGAATGCTCACCTTTGGGTACCACTGAAGATGCGACAAGCATAGGACTGTACCAGAAGATGACACATGTGTCCACTGCACCCCAGTCCACTCAAACCTATGGAATCAAGAGGAAGGGTCCTCGGGAAGGGGCCAAGATAGGGGCTCTGGCCAGGGCAGGACTCTCTGCATGACCTGGGGTAGGTAAATCTTTTCACATCCATGAAGGGAGAGTAGCAACTGATGGCTGCCATGACATCTTCTAGTCCTGCCTCTGGGACATCCTTTACTTCTGCTCTCCCCAAGGCTGTGGTTTCCTGCAGGGTCCTGCTCCCTCACTGGCCCTTTCCCAAGCCTTCGCTCAGCAGATCTTCCTGATGTCCCTTTCCAGTACAGGTTTCATTTGTCCTTTAGGTCCACGCCAAGTCTCATGCCCTATTTTCTGGCCACTCTAGATTTCAAGGCCCACCCCTCCCTGAGAGCCCTAGAGCCCTGCCAGCACCTCTGTCTATGGGACACCTCAGCGTTTGCATTACCTGCAGATTGTGGGTGAGTCAAAGCAGCAGCACAATGCCTGGGCCTGTGGTGGGGACTGAGGGTCAGTCCCCTTTTCCCTTCCCTCTGGTTTTGTCCTCAGAGCTAGCACATAGCCGAAGGCATCCATGGTGCCACTGAAACCTCACTCCCTTCCAGCTGGTAGTCCACAAGGCTGCCCCCAGTCAGAGAGCCTGCACCACCCTGAAAGACCAGCAGTGTCAGCATCACCTGAGATCTTGCTACAAATGTAAAATCTCAGCCCCCACCTTAGACCTGCTGAGTCAGAACACATCTGTGCATTCATACACCCTTCAGGTGAGGCTGGTGTATCCCGAAGTTTGAGAACCACTGCACTGGAGCTGCATTATCCATTACTATAGCCACCAGCCCCACGTGGCATGAACCCTTGCAATGTGGCTAGTTTGAACTTGAGGTATGTGGTAAGTGTAACATCAGATTTCCAAGACTTAGAAAAAAAAGAATGTAAAATAATTCATCAGTAATCTTTTATGTTTATTTCATGTGGAAATACTCATCTTTTAGATATATTGGGTTAAATAAAATGTATTATCAAAATTAATTCTATCAGTTGCTTGTGCTACCGGAAAATTTAACATTACATATGTGACTTGAGGCCCTGCTCAGTGGCTCACACCTATAATTCCAGCATTTTGGGAGGCCAAGGTGGGCAGATTGCCTGAGGTCGGGAGTTTAAGACTAGCCTGGCCAACATTGTGAAACTCCATCTCTACTAAAAATACAAAAATTAGCTGGGTGACGTAGCACATGCCTACAGTCCCAGCTACTCAGGAGGCTGAGGCATGATAATTGCTTGAACGCGGGAGGTGGAGCTTCCAGTGAGCCAGGATTGCACCACTGCACTCCTGGGTGAGAGTGAGACTCTGTCTCAAAAAATAAGTGTATGTACATCTGTAGCTTGCACTATGTTAATATGGACAATGCTTCTCTGGAGTATTATGTCTCTAGGAGAAAGTGACTCACATTTACTATTGACTGGAGCACAGACTGTAAAGTGCTAAGAAAACTGGTAAGATACAAATGACGTTTGTCAGTGGGAGCTAAAACTTTGATGACCGGCCAGGTGCAATGGCTCATGCCTATAATCCCAGCACTTCGGGAGGTCGAGGTGGGCGGATCACACTGGTTTGAGACTAGTGTGGCCAATATGGTGAAACCTGGTCTCTAAAAAATACAAAAATTAGGCGCTTGCCTGTAGTCCCAGCAACTCAGGATTAGCTGAGGCAAAAGAATCAATCACTTGAACCCGGGAGGTGGAGGTTGCAATGAGCTGGGATTGCGCCACTGCACTCCAGCCTGGGCGACAGAGACTCTGTCTCAAAACAAAACAAAAACAAACAAAACACACAAAACCTTTGATGACCTGAAGGTAGAGCATGAAAAGACAGATAATAGAGAAGGGACTGAGTTGGGGGGGGCAGGGAATGAAGAGAAGTGGGTTGTAGGGTACAAACAAGCAGCAAGACAGAAGGAATAAATTTGATGTTTGTTAGCAGAGTGGGGTGGCAATACTTAGCAAAAATGTATTGTACTGCGTGATGAACACCCTGAATGTCCAGACTGGATCACCATGCATTGTA